AGAGACGTGGAAGAAGGAAGGGGAGGCCTATGTCCAAAATTGGACAGCAAGGTGATTCCACATACAGTCTTCTTTTTCTTCTTTATTCTATTGATTAGGCAATTCCGCAAACTAATTAGGCAAACTGAGAAACCAAATGACTCGACAAATCTCACATTTGCGGTGCAAAAGAAGACTCATTCTTTATCTATCTCAGATTACGGAGGCTGTCTCCACAATAATTCGTAACGAACAGAGGTTCTCGATACTTTTTTTCCACAGTTAAGATACTCTTTAGACGTGATTGATGAAAACTAGTCTTGAACGATTCTTCCACTTTTTATTTCTGGATAAGGGAGGCAATTTGTTTGTTTTGGTTTTCTATGGGAATTATACCTTCTATAGCTTCTTTAGTTTTCTGTAATAATTCTTTATTATTTTTAGTAAGATGTACTTGTAGTTTTGTATATTCTCATTTGTAGAGTTGTACAAGTTCGAGACTTCATTCAATTTACAGAATAAACTACATACGCTGTGATTGGTTTGCGTTTTATATCCAGTCATCTACACATATAACTTTCAAATACTGAACAATGTTTCCCTAGTATTAAGTCTTCTTTTTCTTTTAGTTCTCTGACCATTATTGATCTTTTGATATCATGTTGGCTATCATATTCGCTATCATGGCTTTATTGGTAGTAGCTGTAAATAAGAATGTAGTCGATTTTGAGTACCATTCTCTTAAATTTTTATGCCGTGATCTTTTTCTTCTATCAGGACCGTGTCTTAAATTAAAAGAGATTCCACGTTGCTTTAATTCCATTTTCGCAGTAATTTTAGTATTTCTAACAATATCTCATTGCAGCTAAGGAATTTTTAATTTTTTCTCATTTGTAGTGTCTGAAAATATCAAGATGAAACTGGTGAATGCCCTTGTATTCTCAATATTTTTGCGCAGGGCAGAAAATTGGACTCTTCGCGGATGCGAGAGACAAAAAATTGATTTCTTTAAGATGTGGTGCTGAAGAAGAATGCTGTGCATACCTTGGACAGCTAACAGTACAAACATATCCATTTTAAACCAACTCGAAATTAAAAAACGGCTGTCCACAATACTGCCAAGCTAAGAAAAGAACCGTAAGTCAAAAAATATTGAATATTGAGTTATGTATGGTTTCCTACATTTTCAACCATGAAGAATTCAATAGGCTGCTCAAAATTACCGTATCTCCAACAGTGATTGAGATAAAAAATAATTTTTTGGAGTATGTGCATTAAAGGTTTCAAAATAGTAAGCAAGACTGCCGTAACTATGATAGATTAACCAAGAATACAGTAATTCCTTTGCACATACTGCGTTTATGCTTAGTACCCTAGACTTATTGCAGTCTTGCTTACTGTGTAAACTGTGTAAATTTTGAGGTTATGTTTGTAGCACACGATTTTGCTAATAATTTGCTGTCTTCAGTTTAGGTTATAATAGGCCATTATTTGTTTTGTTGCAGTGATTAATAAAGTATATAAGTTACTCTTAGTTAATTTTTCTTTTGGAACATGAGTGCTTCAAAGTTTAATGCTGTGTCAATTCGTTCTAAACTTGTTGTAAACCTATCTCTAAAAAGCAACAAGACTGACACAAGAGCCAAACAAGATGAAAAATTAGAGCTAACTCTAGCTAGTAGCTTTTACTTACAAAATTACCTTCCAGTGATTTATTAGACGCCAATGAACGACCGCAACCATCCAGCCCCACTGTACCGTTGTCAGATAATGTTGGAGATGTGAGTATGATCGTTCTGATAATGTTACCTGACAATATAGTTCACCAGGTAACAGACAACCATATACTAGTTTATGACCTTAGTTAAAATACACTGATATCACGTCCACTGGAAGAATTTGATGTTGGTAAATCTATTTATTTAGAATCAAATACTAACCTCCAAGTTATAGATGTACCTGAAGTATTTGAGAATCTACAAAAATGTGGTTCAACGAAACAATGATAATATAAACTTGGAAGATTTAGGTTTGCTAGCTGTTAGTCTGGATTTTCTGCCAACTGCAAGTGAAAATAGTAAACAAACGAATGTATTTTGTAATGATAATGCAGACCAATATATTGACAATATTGACATAGAAAATCAATTAACCCCTGTGAGAAAGAAACGAAAAAGGTTTGAAACCAGCCTGAAAGTAAGGAAAAAACTTAAAGATAAAAAAATGAAAATATCTCATGCAGTAAAACAGAAAAATGAAACAGAAAGGCGATCATCTATTCAATACAAATTAAAAGATTGCTGACATTACACAAGACGTTTGTAAGAGTTTTTTCCTTACCACATTTAATAAAATTAATGACAGGTTTATGCATTACACATTCATAAATACTCCTAAAGGTGCTTAGTAGTAACTAGTAACTAGGGATAAGAGAGGAAGACAGCCATAAAAAATAAACTACCCCATCACATAATCATCGAACATATCGAATCATTTCATCCCATGATTTCCCATTAGAGATGGGAGCATGCTCCAAATGTGCCATACCTTCTAGGTGATGTTCATGTAGCATTTATGCACAGTGAATACATCAAAAAATTTCTTGGTTTAAAGGGAAGGTATCATATGATTTATACAGGCAAATCTTTAAGGAACAACATATATCATTCGAACAACTAGGACACGAGAAATGCGAAAAATGTGAACAGTTTACTCTTCTTATCCACAAAAAAAAATATTGATATATCGTGTGATATTTGTAAATAATGGAAAGTTTATAACGAATTAGTTACAGAAGCAAGAAACGCATATAAAAGATTTTTTGATGATAAAAGATCAAATAATGTAATACGTTTTTCAAGTGACATGCAGAAGATTATCATGTTGCCAAGAGTGGACATGTTCAAAAAAGTATTATTTGTAAAGCGTTTGGTATCATACTATGAAACCTTTGCATATGTAGGGACAAAAAGTACATACGGCAAATATAGCCATTCATATTACCAAGGAAGAGTAATGGAAGTATGTACGATATCTTCTTCTTCTTCTTCAGCCTGTGTTCGTCCACTGCTGGACATAGGCCTCTTCCATTTGCTTCCATCGATTTCTACTTTTGGCAATTCTCATCCACTGCTTGCCCGCGACTTGTTTGATATCGTCTGTCCACCTCTTCTGCGGTCTGCCTACTTCTCGCCTGTTCTCTCTTGGTCTCCAGTTTGTTAATCCTTGTGTCCATTTTTCGGGATTATCTCGGGCAACGTGTCCGACCCATTGCCACTTGAGCCTTGCAATACGTTCTGAGACATCAGTAATTTTTGTTCTTTCACGAATGACGTTATTTCGAATCCTGTCTCTCAAACTAATCCCTAGCATGGCCCTCTCCATTGCTCTTTGGGTTGTACTGAGCTGCTCTAAGGTTTTCTTTGTGAAGGCCATGGTTTCCAGTCCATATGTAGTTACAGGCAAGATACATTTGTCATAAACTCTACGTTTTAGACACATTGGTATATCTTTATTCTTCAAAATAAAGATTTTCTTTTCCGATGTTAATGGTATGTCCAAGATATATATATATATATATATATATATATATATATATATATATATATATATATATATAGTGGTCTACATTTTCAAGACTGACGTTGTCCAATAACAAGATTAGTTTGTAAATTACTCATTATTTTTGTTTTCTGAAGGTTTATTTTGAGACCTATTGTATTTGACTGCTGGTTTAATTCCTTCAACATTTGCTCCAGTTCCTTGATATCTGTACTAAATAATACTATGTCATCCGCAAACCTCAAATGACTCAAACGTACACCATCAATGTTTAGACCTTTTTCCTCCCAGTCAAGCTGTTTGAATACATTTTCCAATGCTAAGGTAAAAAGCTTTGGTGAAATAGTACGATATCATATTGTATTTTTAACTTTTTTTTGCATTAAAAATTAGAATTATAGATTAAAATTTTATATTTGTATTTAACATAAATATACTTGAAGAATAAACAATTAACAACTGAAATATCATCATATTGAAAATTACAGCATCCTTTTAAACTAAAAATGGAGTTTTCCCAAAATCCTACTACTGTTACTTACTGCACTTTTTCTTAGATGGGCAGAATATGTCTACAAGGTATTCTGTAACGGTCACGTGGTTCGCAGAAGTGACGATAGTATGGAGAGATTGATTGTTTCTGGAAACGTTCCGGGAGAAAATCAAGAGAACGATCACCAACTAGATGGTCCACACAAATTAATTTCATTTGAAAAAAGTGAAAAAGATAGAGACCAATGGAGAAAAATGGTTAGGAATATTGGAAGAAATCAAGATCCTCAGTAATGGGGAAACTACCAGAGACAGAGATTGTGTGCTCATTGATGGACCTGTAATGACAATCGTTTAAAAGTATTCTGTTTTTTCATATTCGTATCTCTTTTTGCTTTATTAGATTTTGAGATAGCTGTTTCTGTTTGTTGCTAGTGATGCAGATAGTAGGTAAAATGTATTATGCTTCTTCTCATATATTTCAATTTCAATTTTTATTAAATTGTATTTTTTCATATTCCGTCTTCTAGAGGTATGTTCTCTTGTATTCATTTTGTCTATATTTCTGAGTTCTTCTTTGTCCCAGTATTTTCTGAGTATTTCCTCTATTATCTATCCTTGTTTTTTCTATTTTTTATTTTCGTTCAGTTTTCCTCAATACATTCATGCTTGCTTGAGGTCAACTTTATTTTTTCTTCTAGTACGCTGAATATTTCTTGTTTTACAATATCATTTGCCCTCTTTTCTCTCTGATTGTTAACTGTAGTGCATCTAACCTTAATACAGTCTAATCAGCAAGTGGTAATAAAGAATTAATATTCAGAAAAGAAGAACGTTATGTAAATGAGTCGGTCTCGCTCGTCCAACTTATTGGCAATCGAATAATTCCGATACATTACCTGTCGCATACCCGTATTTTCCATTCCAGCTTAATAATAGCCAGAGTGCCGCCACTGAGGCGCACAAGCGATACGTGTGCCCACGTTATAAACAGTGTATGTTAGTATTTATAAAGTTTCTCAAGGAAAATCTCGCTGTGAATCGCCCAACTCGCGACAGCGCGATTTTATATATTTTTTCGAATATCACAAAATCGTTGCTATGACAGTAAGATCATCAGCTGATAGTGAGCTTATCCGAGAATTTCGAGTGATAAGAGATGCCATCTGTATCGGTCCATATACTTTTCAGTATAAGCAATAGGATCAGTGTCAATCGGGTAGTGTAGCTATACGCGACTATTATTTTTTGGTTTATAGTGCTCAAAAAATGGAGAGACAAAATTCGCAAGTGCCTCCTGACGGGGGTTGGGGTTGGATGGTGGTGTTCGGCGCCGCTCTTATTAACGTAAGTGATATATTTTATTTCCATGCTCATTCAATCATTCTAAATTGACTAGGCACTATTAAAAAAAAATACGAGTAAATTATCGACAATTTATTGTGCCTGAAATTAATGTATATTGTTTTTTACCACTATCTACTGATAAACAGTAACTACACTGTTTTAAATAACTTCACCAATGTATAAGTATAACCACTACATTTTAAAATTTATCTTCTTTGTCCTCGTCTTTTGTCTTTCTTGCAATATACTGTATATAATATAAATAATTTAGTCTGCCAACGGGATTGGTAGGTAAAATAAGGAATGAGTACTATTTTTTATTCTTATCTAGTACTATTATTATATTTTGGCAAATTTTTACCAATACCTTCTTCCTGTCGTTAATATTTTTAAGTTTTGCAACTTGGGCACTGGTATTTCTTTTCCTTTAAATTGGTTTAACTGGAACATTTTATGGTTTATCATCTAATGAATCCTCTACAGAATCTTTAAAATTATCTATATTTATTGCTGGCTTGACCACCAAAGCCAGTGCTACTTTCTATTTTTTAAATTTGGTGCCAGGTGTGGGGTTGATTAGGAACTGCCTTTTCTGATGAACTATCCTTACTGCCTCTTCCTTGTTTTTGAATTTGTTTTGGATGCATAGCTTCCGTTGTTGTTTATTTTGTAACATATTCCTTAGCACTTTCATCCCTATCAGAGAAATCTTTTGACCTAGACTTAGCTTTTTTGTTTATAACTGGAGGGTTTACTCGCTTCTTTCTTCTTTTCGTCGTTTTACAGAAGATTTTTCCCCCCATTTATATTCCTCGTCTGATGATTCTTATTAGCATATTTTTTAAACACAGGATTACATTGAGTCATTAAACAAATTCTTGGTGTACATTATATTAACTGTAAAGAGAAATTGATCAAATTCACTATGAAAAATAATAACTCACTACTATTTCTGAAAGTGTTTATCATAAAAAAAGATACACGAAATGTAACTCTTCTTTAAGTGCCCTGTCCGATTATCGAACGTTGGCGATCATATTAGCAATAATAACTTTATTCACGGCGGCTCTAAATAAATTAAAGGTGGTTTCTTGATACCATTCTCGGAGATTTCGTAGCCAGAGGATGTTCTTCGTTGGCCTGGGCCGCTGCTTCCGTCGATCTTACCCTGTATTATGAGGTGTAGGTTATACCTCTCTGGATGTCTCATTACATGACCGAATTATTGTAACTTCCAAAATGTAACTACACAAAACGAATACGCACCAACAGAATCAGTATATGACAGAGCCTAAAATACCTGCTCGAACGCAAAAGCTTTTTTGAAAAAAAAAACTTTGTCTTTAAGGAATTTTAGACGATAGAACAAATGAAGCAATACAACCTTGGGAAACATACTGAAAGATTAACAATACGGGATTTGAAGACAAGAATAATATCATATACAAAGGGCTAATCAAAAAATTTTACTTCTTTATGTTCCATCTTCGCGACGAAGATGGCAATCATAACTGCTATTCTAACTTTTGACACTACAGCCTGAAAGACTTCAGTTGAGCTGCATCCAAACCATTCTTTGAGGTTTCTCAGCCAGGACGTTCCTCTTCTACCTATGCTGCGCTTTCCTTTAATCTTTCCGTGCATTATTAGTTTTAGGAATTCGTATCTATTACCACGTGATATATGACACAGATATTGTAGTTTTCTTATTTTGATGGAATCCAGTATCTTTCTGCTGTTCTCTGTTCTTCTTAGTACTCCTTCATTGGTTATCCTGTCTGTCCAGGAGGTTCTCAGCATTCTTCGATATGCCCAACATTTCAAATGCTTCCAACATTTTTTTATTAAAAGTCCATGTCTCCACTCCATGCAAAAGAAGAGAAATAACATAACACATTAGTACTCGTTTTCTAAGATTTAGGCTGAGTTCTTTATAACATAATATTTGTTTCATATTATTGAATGCACTTCTAACCTTTTCTATTCGAAATCTAATTTCTTTGGTATAATCGTTTGTTTTATTAATGTTTGCCCCTAAATAGTTATAATTCTGAACTCGTTCTATCATCTTATTATTTACGTATAGATTAATGTATCTAATATTTTTCTTTTTTGATATCACCATGAATTTTTTTTCTTTATGTTTAGTGACAGACCAAATTGAAGAGGTAATTTTCATAACCCCACATGTCCAAAAATATTTTTTTTTAACTGACGTTTCTAATTCATCATTTTAAAATGCATTGCCTGTTATGTTTATTGCCGATCAAAAACCCACATTTTTCAGTTGTAATATTAATTTAAAAGTAGGTGTTTAAACCAAACCTCACATGATGTGTGACGGTTATAGCAAAACCCCACATTTTCTATTCAGCCATAGAAGAGTCAGTATTAATCCCCACCTGAGATTGTTTTGTGAGCGATGTACAGGTCAGAACAAAAACAATCACGTGCCTCATATTTTAATCTACTTTTTGGCAGCCCACGAAGACATCTTGACACATATTACTATTAAAATGAAATGAAAAAGACAGCAAATATTTGATTTCACGCAAACAGCGCCTATGTATCTGTTGATATGTAATTCGACCTAATAGGTCTCATCAGAACAGTTATTCTTAGGTGTTCTCAACGTGAAAGATCAATATTTTCTGTCTTTTAAGAAGCAACACTAAAATGGCTTCGATATGGACGCAATAGCGACATCTGATAATAAATCCGTAAAATAGTTTCGAAACACAATTCAGATTTCTGCTTTAATCTGTGCTTTCTAAAAATTGTAAAGCAAAACAGACGTTGATGAAGGTGTTAAAAGAGACATGGGGAATCTAAAATTTGCATTCCACGACATGTCTTTTCAACTAAGCAGAAATCCTTAGCTAATTGGTTTCTTGTAATCGTAAAGAGTAGATCCGAATAAAATGAAAAAAACAGCAAATATTTGATATCACGCAAACAGCGCCTATGTTGATACGTATTTCGACCTAATAGGTCTCATCAGAACAGTTATTCATAGGTGTTCTCAACGTAAAAGATCAATATTTTCTGTCTTATATATATATATATATATATATATATATATATATATATATATATATATATATATATATAGTAGTTTTGAGTTTCTTGAACCGTATTATATTTAATATAAAATTAATGTTTCTTGGGTTTAGGTTCAATAAAAATATGTTACATGTGGAACTAGATTTTATTTTCCATTGCAATCAATCAACGTTTCGGCAGGAAACCCTTGCCTTTGTCAAGATTCAAAACGTAAAACGTGACACAGACATTAACGAACTGATTGATTGCAATGGAAAATAAAATCTAGTTCCACATGTAACATATTTTTATTGAACCTAAACCCAAGAAACATTAATTTTATATTAAATATATATATATATATATATATATATAATATATATATATATATATATATATATATATATATATAAGAATATAAAAAAGTTGGAACTGTGAAGGTACTTGGAACAGATTGGTCTCTAAAGGATGTAAAATCACTTGGTAATAATTATTTAAAACACTTACCTAAAATCAGTGACACAAAAAGAATTTTCATTGAGAAAGTTGTGACAAAGAAAAATTTACAGGTATGGGTTAAAGGCAATGAATTATATCGGTTTGAACCAGAGCTACACAAATACAGCCTTCTAAAGCAACACACAACTTGGAAAAAAATACTCGAAAATCCTCTTGAAGAAATTCATTTAGTTCATCCCGTAAGCGCAGCAAAAAAGAAGCATGTGATCAAACTGTTAACTATTCTTTTGGGTTTATAGACTAAAATAAATAATCTTATGCTAAACTATAGTAAATTGATTTGATCAAAATACCACACATCCAAAGCTGTTATGTTCATAACCCCACATGTTACATGTGTTTCATGCATAGCCCCACATCTAACAACTTTTAAACTATATTTTTAATTTGTTATACCACTTTCTACACAAGTAAGTAGTTTTCTTAGCTCATAAATCAATACTGAACTTTACTATATTACACAAAATATGTTTTGGTGAAATAATGTAGACGAATCGGTTTTTTACTCTCCTGAAAAAATAGCCAATGAGGACATATGGGGTTATGAAAATTACCTCCTCAATTCTTCTCTCGCTGCAACAACCTTATCTAAAATTCTTTGTCATCATCATCACAGTCATTAACATCTTAGTAGATGTGTTGTGGTTCATAATTGGGCTTCAGCAGCTCGGACAGTTTGATTGATAATATTTCTCCACTGGTCGCGGTCATCAGTTATATGTATTGCCTCAGTATACTGTTTATTGAGAAGCTTTTTAGTAATGTCCGCCCATCGCTGTGGAGATCTTCCGCGTTGGCGTTGAGTCTGAGGCCTTCCTTGGACCACCAACCGCTCCATTTTGTGATCACTTCGATGGATATGGCCAAAGAACTTTAAAATTCTAGAGTAAACGGTACTGGAGAGACGTTGATCCGGTTTAATTTCATCCAGAACCGAGATATTTGTATGGCGAGCCGTCCATGGAATTCGAAGCAGGCGTCTCCATGTCCACATTTCAAAGGCGTCTATACGTCGTCGATCTGATTCTTTGACTGTCCATGTCTCGCATGCATAGTAAAATATGGAAAAGACCAGAGTTGAAACGAGTCTCTTTTTGTTTGTCATAGTAATGTGACGATCACGCCAGACCCCGTTTAGTTCACTTCTTTCACATTCTTTGTAGATCTGTAATATTTTCTGCTATTAGTATTCTATTATCAGCATATCTAATTCCACGTATGGATAGGCCATTTATTTTATGCCTGCAACTTCATCTTCTAATCCCTTTTTGAATATTTCCTCTGAGTATCCATTAAACAGTGATGGCAACAAGACGCAGCCCTGCCTAACACCTCTTTTGATTTTTATTTTATTAGTTTTTAAATTATATATTCTTATGACAGCTTCTCGTTCATAATACAGATTATTTAATATTCTTATATCTTGTGTGTCGATGTTC